GGCTGGGGGAGTGGGGGGGGGGTGGCGCTCTGCCTGGGTGGGGGGCTGGGCCGGGGACCCCTCCTGGCCAGCTGCCCTGTGCCCACAGTACAAGCGGCAGCACACGCTGCTGCACAAGGTGAATGGGGCCCTGATGCTGCTCAGCTTCCTGTGCTGCCGGGTGCTGCTCTTCCCCTACCTGTACTGGGCCTATGGGCAGCACGCGGGCCTGCCACTGCTCGCCGTGCCCCTGGCCATCCCGGCCCACGTCAACCTGGGCGCCGCGCTGCTGCTCGCCCCACAGCTCTACTGGTTCTTCCTCATCTGCCGCGGGGCCTGCCGCCTCTTCCGGCCCCGGGCCTCCTCACCGCCCTCACCCTGTCAGACCCAGGACTGAGGGCGGCGCCTGGGACCTCCCCATCCCCACCCCGCAGGGACCTGTCCCTGGGACTGATGGGGCAGTTGGAAGCCAGAGGCCTCTTGCCTGGACAGCCCCAGGACTGACAGATGGACTCAGAAGGGGGAGGGGGCACCTTCCCTTGGGCTGAGGATGGGGATCAGGTGACAGGAAGGCAGGGAGGGGGGAACCCCTTTTCCCCACAGTGTCCCTTCTTGCACGCGCTGTGCTGGAGAAGTGAAGGAAAGAAGGAGGGGCCACTTCCCACCCGCTTAGGGCTGAGGGCTTGTGGGGAGATGGTGGGGGACTCACGGGGACCAGGAGTGATAGAACGTGGGGGAGGCCCCGCTGCCAAGGACATCCAGCCCCTCTGCTGCAGACCCCTCTGTCTTGGGGAGGGAAAGGACAACTAACCAAACCTCGTGGGCCTCAGAAGGGGCCAGTTGTCCCCCGCAGCTCCTCTCCAGGGGAGGCCAGACTGAAGAATCTTATTTATTCATTTGCCCAAATTCAAACTAGTTTGTGGGGCACGGGGAGGTGGCTGCTACCCCCCAGCCTTCCCAGTGCTGAGCACCCCTGGGGCAAGGGGATGCCCTATCCCTCCCCGTTAGGCCGCACATCTTGCCCTCGGGCCCTGGCATGTCCCTGGTGCTACAGACCTCTCCAGGCTTCCTCCAGTCTGGGTTGGGGGACCCTGGGAGGTGCTTTACAGACCGCTAATAAAGACGATCTGCCTGAATGCCACCAAGGCCCTCTCTCCACCCAGTTCTTTGGGGCCAGGAAGGGAGGGAGCTGGACAGCCAGAAGAAAGATGACCACAGAAAGGCAGGTCCCCAGCTGGCTACTGAGCAGACAGGGAGGAAGACAGCAAGGGCCTTTATTTGTCAGCAGGAGCAGAGGGTGGCTTGGGCACCCAGGCCGGTCCAGGGCCCTGGTCCAGCTCTTTAGGCCCCCTTCTGGCAGCTCCTGTGGGGTGTGAAGGTCAGAGGTGGGAGGTCACACAGTGCCTCTCCCAGATTTGGGTCCTTCAGCCTCCCCTAAAGAAGGCGCAAGTGGCTGGGGTCAGGAGCATGGGGACAGGCCTCACATGTGGGTGCAGAACTGGAAAAGGATGAAGAAGAAGGCCACCACCAGCGCACCCACCAGGATGTGATGGAAGAGCCCGGAGCTGGAACCTGCCAGACAATAGCGGGAGATGGGGCCCTTGACTGCCCTCTAACTGAAGAGTCAAGGGCAGCTGTCCTCCAGGCCCCTTCTCAAGGTGGCCATACCTGAGTTAACAAAGACGACAGGTCTCTCTCCAATAAACTGGGCCACGGCCAGGAGCTTGGCTTGGTCCGAGTCTGGGTAATCAAAGAAGTCAGGTCTGTCTATGAAGAGTGGAGACTCTGCTGCTGGGGCTGAAGCCTTGGCACTCTTGGGGATGGGCGCTAGGACCCACAGCAAAGCCTGTGACAACAGTCAAGCAGACCCCTGCCCCCTACCCCATGGGTCCAGGCTAACTCAGAGCCCTGGCAGGCCACACAGCCTTAGTGTGGCTCTAAAGGGGTTGGAGTTTGTTCCCAGTGTCAGCCGAGCTCTCCGTGAGAAGGCCCATGCTGGGATGGACATGGGGTGGATGAGGGAGAAGGGTGGGAGAAAAGACAAAGAGCCAGGGTTGGCCTCCCAGCCCCCAAGGGGGCATTGCCCCTTGTCCCCGAGCCCTCCTCCTTCCCACTGCTCCCAGACAGCTTCCCACCTGTTTCTATGGCTCCCAGCTGGGCCAGCCACACCCACACCAGCACCCACTGCCACAGCCTCATGACCCCTCCACTCCTGTTATGAGTGGGGGCTCTATGATGTCACAGCCCAGAACCATTCTGATGGTGAGGGGTGAGAGAAAGTGCTAGGAGCTGGGCCCCTTCCCCCAGCCCCCAAATTAGAACAGGAGAGGCTGGGCCCACAGAGCCTTCATCTTTCAGGATGATGCTGATAAGACAGTAACAGTGGCAGCCCAGAATTTATAAATAGGAGGGACTTGTGGGGTGGTCTTGCTGAAAGCAGGGACTAAGGGGAGCTGCATTTGTACAGCAGGCCTGTTTTGCAGGGGATCAGGGCTACACACCTCCAGTTACTCCTCGGATGAACCACAGGTAGCTTTTATTGAGCACTTATTACTAGGCCAAGTACTTTATACAGACTGATTCGTTTAACCATTGCAGTAACCCTGCAAGGTAGGTGCTTGTGCCCCCATTACACAGAACAGGGCACCAAGGCATAGAGGGGAAAAGTAACACGGGCAACACACACTTCCCAAGGGTGTATATTTTCCTCCCTGAGGCTCTCCCTTGCATCGTGTCCCCAAATCTAGGGACACAAGGGTCTCAGCCATCTGCAAACCCTGTCTCAGTGCTCCGCTGAGAATGACCCTGGGTTGGGAACCAAGAGAAACAACAGGCTGTGCCCACTAGGTGGTAGCAGTGTCCTGCTGCGGGTTTCACCCCCGCCCACCCGCGGAAGGCCGGCTCTGGCACTCCAGGCTCCTGCCTTGCCCGCAGGTTGCGTCTGGTGCTGCAGGAACAGTGATCGCTGGGGAACGGGAGGCAGTCAGGGATTGTCAGAGGCAGTCCCCTGACCCATCCCGAGGCAGATCTCTTGGTCACCCACAGAGGCCTCACAGACTCTCACTGCTTCTCAGTTTCCCTTTCTGTGGCTGGTGAACATCCCCAAGCCTAGACCATCTCCCCCCTCTGTCACTTCCCAACAGCCATTTTTAGTCCTGTGGCCCCATCTCAGCTCAGAACAGTTAGCTCCCCTCTGATTGGCAGGTAAGCCTGCCTGTCACAGGCGTGTTCCTCCCCACTCAATCCCAAGGACACTTCAGGGTCTTCTTGGTTTACTGCACAGATGCCTGTTCATCAGCCTCTGACAAACCCGGTTCCATGGCTCCCCAAAGCCAGGTGTGTATTTGTGGCATGTGTAAGGTCCTCTGCTCCACAGGTGGGGGCTCCCTCTTCCACTGGATACCCGGCCTCTCCCATCTGTCCCGCATTCAGGGACCCCAAAGTCCTAGCCCACCTGTTGGCACAATAACCCTGGAGGGCACTAGCCATGATTGGCTTCTATTTCCTGAACAAGAAAAAAGCCCAAAGAGGAAAAAACAGGAAAAAGAGGAGGGAAGTGAATGTCCATGGGGCCACCTCTGGCGCTGGCTCCTGGGGGCTGCTCCCTTTCCATGTATCTCTTCTAAGAAAAAGCAACAGGGCCAGCCTGTGGCTCACTTGGGAGAGTGTGGTGCTGAAACCATGGGTTCGGATCCCTATACAGGCATGGCTGGTTAGCTCACTTGGGAGAGCGTGGTGCTGACACCACCAAGTCAAGGGTTAAGATTTCCTTACTGGTCATCTTTAAAAAAAAAAAAGAAGAAGAAGAAAAGGAAAGCAACTTAGCCAGAGCTGCAGGGCTGTGAGGAGAGTGGGTTCTCAACAACCTGTGCCTGACACTGGGCCAAGGCTCCCGCCCCAGGCCCATGCGCAGCTGCTCCTAGCGTTTAGCTGGGAGAAGGGTCCAGAGCCTGTAGCCTTTGGGGTTGATATTTTAGCTCCCTCAATTGCCTCAAAAGAATATATCTGCTCTCCCTACCAGAAAAGACCCTTTCGACTCAAGCAGTGAGTTACTCATTCATCCACCCATTAAGGAATGTATTGAGCTGCTGCTACGTGCTGGGCTGGACTCCATGTATGGCTTAGGTAGAAATTACCAGGGCCCGGGTCTCTGCCCTGCAGGATCGCAGGCAGCGAGCTCGTGAATGCACACATCCTAATAGTGACGGACAGTCAGGGGCTGACACACTTGCTGACTTCACTCCCTCACCTTTAACGTATTCTTCAACCTCTTCTGATAAGGGTTTGTCCCCACAGCATCACTGAAGCCACTTAGGTCAAGTCCACTAATGACCTCTTAATCTGCCAAATCTAATGGTTACTTCTCTTTCCATTCTGTCTGTCTCTCAACATGGTGCACCTGTCCCCTCAATCTGAGCATGGGAGCCACACACCAATTTCTGGACAACTCCTCTAGCCAGCCCTTGGGCCTTCTCTTTTCTATCTATATTCTCTCTCCCTAGGTGATCTCATCCAGTCTCATGGCTTTAAATACCATCTATATGCTGGTGACTCACAAATGTATATTTCCAGCCCAGACCTCTCCTCTGAGCTCCAGACTCCTGGATCCAACTTCCTGCTTGATGTCTGTTTTTAAGTCCAAAAACATCTCAAATGCAATAGATCCCAAACTGATCTCTTGATTCTCCTACCCCAACCTGCTTCTCTCATCTTGTCATCTCAGTAAATGCTCCTACCACTCCTCTAGATGTTCTGCTCAACACAGAAACCTAGGGATCATCTCCAGTGCCTCCCTATCTCTCACCTGACAAACCCAGTATTAAGACCAGTTGGCTCAATTTCCAACATAAATTTCAAATCCTTCTGCTTCCCTCTGCTCCAGTGCTGCCCTCCTCATTGAAGCCAACATCATGTTTCACCTGGCTTATGGCAACAGCTTTTAGTCTCGTTAATTGCTCTGTGTTCACTCTCACCCGCTAAGATCCATTCCCCAACCACCAGCCAGAACAAATGAGAACACGTGCGTCCACTACTTAAACCCTCCAGTGGCTTCCTAAGCTTCTTCCCTTTACCTGCAAGACTCTTGGTGGCCTCCCCATCCACCCACCCACCTCAGCTCTTTGCATGCCTCCCCTTCCTCTGGCCCATTCTATGCCAGGTCTGGATTGCCTCCCGGCCTTTGCACAGCCCTCTGCCTGGGATGCTCTTGTCCCACACCTGTCCTGGCTAACTCCTCCTCATCTCTCAGGTCTCCACTGAGTCAAGACTTCCTCTGGGAAGGGTCCCTGAACTACCAGGCTTTCTGATCATCCCCCATCACTGCATCAATCTTGTTGGATTGGAATTATCTGTGCATTTGTCTATCTCCCCATAAGGCTGTGAAACCAGAGATGGATGGATGATCTTGGCCCTAGTTGTACCACAATAAATATTTACTGAATGACTGGATGCATGAGTAGTGGACGGAAAGCCTTTCTGCCTCTGGACAACCAGGGCTCAGCACTGCCTGCCATTTTCCCCTGCAGTTGACTTGAGCTGTGGCCTCATCCTCACCTGCCACCACAAGGCTCTCTGGAGGCATGCTGGGCTGGGCCTGAGCTGAGAGCCACTAGAGGAAAGCCACGGACAGACAGGACTCTACAGGCTCCTTGACCAGGTTGTCCCTCCCCTCACCGCAGGCCCCTGTCACCAGGCCAAGGAGACCCTTCCACTATACTCACCAGCTGATGTCCTGGACAGCATGTCCTGTAGTCCTGCCTCTTTTCTTATCCAGGAGAGCCACAGAGGAAACCTAATGGTTGCCTTTACTTTTAAAATACACTATTTAAATGTATTCTTTGGAATAGGTAACATAAGTACATGGCACAAAATTCAAAAGGTACAAAAAGATGTACGATGAAAAGCAAGTCTTCCCTGTTCCTGCTCTATGCTGCCCCACAGCCACCTCCTCAGAGGTCAACATCATTACCATTTTCTTGTGCAGCTTTCCAGAAATAATTATGCACAAATAAAATAAGCAACTACATATAGCCCCCCTTTCCCACTCAAATGGCAGCATTCCAGACATGCTGCTCTGCACCTTGCTTTTTTAAGTTAAAATGAGATTGTGAAGATGATCCTACGAAAGTACGAAAAGATCCTCCTTTTTCCTGGCTGCATACTATTTCGTGGTATTGTGTCATAACTGATTTAACCAGGCTCCTAATCACGGACATTTCGGTTGTCTCCAATCTTCTGGAACAGTCTGCAGTTAGGAACCTTGAACTTCTATTATTTTGCTCATGGGTCAGCATTGTCAATAGGATAAAATCCCAGAAGTGGAATTTCTGGTCAAAGAGCATGTGTACCTGTCATCTCAGTGTCTACTATCAGATTGGCCTTGCAGAGGCGGTGTTCACTCACCCACAGCCTTGCCAACATGGGTGTTAACAGACACTTTTAAGTTTGCCCAGTTGACGGGTGACACATGGTATCTCAGTGTAGTTTGACTTTACATTTCTCTTACTTTAAAAAAAATTACGGTAAAATACAGATAACAAAATTGATCATCTTAGCCATTTCTAAGAGTACAGTTAGGTAATGTTAAGTACATTCATATTGTTGTGCAATCACATCTCTCTTTTAAACACAATATTTAGTGATGCAAACTTAGTGCCAGGCCCAGTCTGGGACATAGGGACTGGGAGATGAATCAGCCTCTGCTTGTTGTGGAACTCCCTGGCTGGTGGAGAAGACAGAAATGTAAACAGGCATCAACCAAACAGTGTCAGCCCAGCTGAGCCTGAGGTAGCGCTGGAACCTGGGGCGGTGGGGATGCGCTGGGAAGGCTTCCAGGAAGAGGTGACCCCTGAAGGAAGGGAGGGTCTCCCAGGTAGAGGTGGTATGTGGGTAAAAGTCCAGAGGCCTGAGATCTAGGTGTGTTCTAGGAACAGCAGATAAGTCTTCGTTGCCAGCCTGCTGTGGGCAGAGGGGGTGATCAGGTCCAGGTCTGGAGAGCCTTGAAAGCCACTGTGCGGACTTTGTCTTTTGGCGATGGTAAGTTGGGGACAAAGGATAGTGAAGATCAAAGGCTAGGGTTAGGCAGACAGGCAGGTGGCAGGGCAGGAGGGCGCGAGCGAGGTGACAGGGTTCAGGTGAGAAATGACAGCCGATGAGGAAGACGTAGGGCTCTGGGGCATTCAGAGCGAGCCTGGACGCCCCTCTCCACCTGTGGAACGAACTGGAGGTGGCAGGAGGTGCGAGTGTGGGAGTGTGGATTTCCAAAGGAGATGTCATCCCTGAGAAGAGGACACGGGCCCCTGGGGACCGGTCTGGGGCACAAGGAGAGACACCTGAACAGCCAAAGGGAGGAGGCATGAGGGAAGCCACAGCCTCAGGCTTCTGTCTCCTCCCTCAGACTGTGAGGTTCCCCAGCCCGGCTCGAGGACCCCCCAGATCCCAGGCCAGCAACAGCAGGCGGATCAGACTCCCGCCCCTTTCCCGCTCCTAGGTCACAGAGGATCTCTACGTCCCTCCCCTGTGGATATGAGGGGTGGGACAGATGCCCTTTCCTCCTCCGCGATCTCTGTGCGAGGGAGGGGCGTGAGGCTGCGGGGGAGGAGGAGGGAGTTGAGCCGGTGTCGCCATGGCAACGAGGCGGGTGGTCTGGCCTGGAGCCCGCAGGCGGGAGGCGCTGGGGGCGCCGCGCGAGGGCGGCCGGGGGCCGGGGTCTCCCGGGAAGAGTTGGGAAACACCCGGCAATTCTCGCCGTTGGGTCCCGGTGGCGCAGGGATCCCGCGTGTTAGCGAGTGTGTGTCTGCGAAGTTCTCTGGGTGAGCGTGCCGGCGCGTGTCTGGGTGTGTGCTGGGTGCGAGCGTGCACACGGGGGCACAGGCGTGTGCGCGCGCGAGCCTCCGAGTCCAGTGTGCGCTCCCGAGCGTGCCCGGGCGGGCGGGTGTCCGCGGATCCCGCCCCTCCCAGCCCCCCGCCGCCGGCGGATCCTCGCCTTCCCCCGCTCACCCCCTCCTCCCGCACTTTCTCTGCTCTCCCTCCCTCTCGGCGGCACAGCCGGACTCCGCGCTCTTCTAGCCCGCCGCCCTGGGAACCGCCGGCCGTCGCCGCCCAGCCCGCAGCCGCCGGTCCCCCAGCGCCCAGGCACCTGTCGGAGGCGCAGAGACAGGTGCAGGGGGCTGACCGGCCGGGGGCGCGAGGGTGAGGGTGAGCGTGTCGGCCCGTGTGTGCTCCGGGGGTGTTTGGCTCTCCTGCGGCTGCAATTTCTGGCTCCCCCGGAGAAAGCTAAGCTCAGCAGGAGGCATCTAAGGCAGGGGTCCCTACCTGGGCCGCGGAGGGCGGGGAACCAGGCGGGCACACAGATCCTGGGGCTGAGGGGTGGGTGACACCCTTACCAGACCAGCGCCTGGTGCAGAGGATGGACAGAGAGCCTCAGAGAGGCAGAGGCGGGACGTATGGGGCCGCTGGGGGCGTTGACAAGGCTCAGGGTCAGACTGGGGCCCAGAATGAGAGGGAGGAGCTGGGAAGATGACAAAGGGACAGCCTAGAGGTAGGTGGGCACGGCTGAGGTGGAGCCACGACCTGGTGGCAGCCCAGCCCCCGTAGAGCAAGGCTTGGGATCTGGAGGGCCCAGGCCTCCTGCCTACCCACAAGCTGACACCCAGGAACGGAGGCCAGGGAGGGCCCCACAGCGCGGGGAGGTTGCCACCAGGAGCCTATGGGTAGGTATGAGGTATGAGGAGTCAGCTCCGGGCTCAGCTCTCTCCCACCCCGTCCCCCCTCAGGGGTGCTGCATGAGGGGCCGCAGGGGCGACCGTATGACCATCAACATCCAGGAGCACATGGCCATCAACGTGTGCCCCGGGCCCATCCGGCCCATCCGACAGATCTCTGATTACTTCCCCCGCCGGGGACCAGAACCCGAAGGGAGTGGCAGGGGCTGTGGGGAGGGCCCCACTCGTCTGGCCCCCCTGGCTCTGGCCCCCCCTGCGGCCCTCCTTGGGGCCACCACGCCAGAGGATCGAGCTGAGGTGGACAGCTATGACTCGGATGATACCAGTGAGTCTGCCCAGGGTGCTAATGGGGGTCTCCACGCTTGTGCGAAGGCGTTGGGCCCTGCTGGGTGTGCGGGCAGGGGCGGGGGCGCTGCCACCACAGCTGCAGCCAGTGTGGAGATTCCAGCATCAGCAAGGCTCAATATTCAATATTTCTGCTGAGACAGTCCACCACCCACACAGCCTGGTTGCGGCTGAGCCAGGGACCCAGACACACACACGCACATGCCCACTCGGCCTCCCGCACACAAACCTGCAGGACGACAGAGACTAGACACGCACATCAGAGCCTGCCTACCGCTCTCACACACACCTGTCCTTACGCACTGCCTCAGCTACCTTTCCCCTCTCCTCCAGCCGCCCTGGGCACACTGGAGTTTGACCTTCTCTACGACCAGGCCTCCTGCACTCTGCACTGTAGCATCCTCAGGGCCAAGGTGAGCACTCCCTGCCTCTCAAGCCTTGGCTGGGGGGGGGGGGGGGGGG